GTTGACGGCCTAACAGCTTGGAGAGCCAGTCTTCCTCTTCCTGCCTGGCTCTCCTTCCTGCCCAAGCCAGGGCCGTAGGCCAGTGGCTTCAACCCAAAACCAAAAATATGCCTTTTATACAACTGGACCTTGATCCAAGCTGTTCTTTCTCACTCAAGTGCCTTTCCTTGCTTTTCCTACCAGGTATGTACCTGTTGGGCCTGTGATAAAGAGCCCCTACCTGGGGTCAAGCTGACTTGAGTTCTAATCCTGACTCTCTCTCTTACCAGTTGTGTGACCCCTAGCAAGTTACCTAACTTCTCTGAGCCTCCACATCCTCATCTCCAACGTGAAGATGATCATGCGTATTCCCTAGCCCTCCAGTGATGATTAAATGAAATAGAGTAGGTACATCAGTACCCAGGTAATGACAGAAACATTCATCCATCTTCACGCGTTTCATAAAATTTCAAGATCCTTCTAGAAACCTGGAAATTTCCTGCTCCCCACCCCACTCCTATCCCATCCAGATCAGGCCCCATCAGCTCTCACCTGGATCGCTGCAACTACCTCCTACCTAATCCGCCTGTGCCACTCTTACTCGATTTTAACCCCTCCACCTCACAGTAGCCAGAGTGAGCCTTCTAGTCGGAAAAATCTGATTGTATCACTCACTCAACACCTTTCAGTAGTTTCTAATGGCCCTTAGGACGAATGATACACTCCTTGTCACGGCCCACAATGTCCTGCAAGCTTGTCCTTAGCCCATGCTGTTCCCTAGGCCTGGAATAATCTTTCACGCCGTCCCTCTTACCCCACCTCTGGTGGCCTTCCTCTTCACCTTGCCAGCCTTCCATCAGGGCTTAACTTACATATCACCTCCTCCAGGAAGCTTCCCATGCTTCCCTCCCTCCAGATGAATTTAGCCGACCCTGCGGCATGCTCCTACAGCAGCCCACATATTCCCAGGCAGCTTGTCAAGCTACACAGCAGTTGCTTGTGTAGTTGTCCAGGTTCCTGCCATACAGTGTAAACTACGAAGGGTCAGAAGCCTTTGCGTGCTCATCACGGTGTCCTGTGATAACAAGAGATGTGGTGGACAGTCAGTTAATATGAGCTTATAGAATGGATGGAGGATGGATGCATGGGTGGATAGACAGATGGAAAAAAAAGTGACACCTCCCCTGTGAGGCCTTCCTGGAGTCCTCTGGGCAGGGCGTTTTTCATCTGTGCTTCATAACAGTGCAGACCTCCTCCCAAACCTTACTTTTTCCTCAGCTATAAAATGGGGAAAATAACACTGCCTACCTCATGGGGTTACTGATATTAAATGATACAAGCCATGTAATAGTTTTAAGTCCAGGATAATAGGTTGTTAAATTTAAATAAGATAATCCACTTAAAGTGCTTAGAACAAGATCTCGCCCTTAGTAAGTGCTCAAAGAACATTAATAACTATCATAACATTTACCATTGCTTGCCACCTAAGTCACCTGTCAAAGAGTGAGCTTCTCAGGGGTATGGTTTAGGTCTTCCTCATTTGGGGGCACACCAGCACGACCACATCACAGTGCCTAGCTCGATGTTTGCAATAAGGGGACAAATGAATGCAGATTTGCCAGCCGATGATTCAGGGCACAGCACCCTCGTCATCACTCAGAAACCCAGACACACGTTAACACAGACCATCTCTTACACATTCACACCCACTCACATTCATTCAAAGAACCCCAAAATACCACGGAGCAGCCACCCGGTTTCCTAAAATCCGCCATGTGTAAATGAAGAGTCTTACTCATTATACTGCACCCTCCACACACCACCACAATGCCCAGCAGCCCCCTCCCCCAAAATGATAGGGACCGTAGGAGTGAGGGGGCTCCCCCTCACAGGAGGGAAAGCAAAGCTGGGTCCTCAGCCCCCAGCATGGCAACATCCCAGCCAGGGAGAGTGCTGCTCTCCCCCTCTTCCATCAGGGCTCACCTCTTCCCCATTCTGTAAACCTGGGTGCCTGGCCTTGGCAGGTGGCTGAGGAAGAGGCCAAAAAGCCAGAACACAAGGGGTCCTTCTTTGCTCATCTAGTCTTGTCTCTGAACCTGGATGCATAGGCCATTGTACTCCTATCCTAGCGCCAAGCACAGCAACCTGTAGAAAGAAGTCAGGAGAAGGAGACCCAAGGCCTAGGGTGGTGGAAGGGACTTCTTAGCCTGGGGGTGAAATAATTATATTAGCCACCATTTACTGGGTGCAGAACCAGATACTGAGCCCAGTGCTTTACAAACATTATGTCTCATTGAATTCTCACAACCCTTTCTCCAGAGGAGGACACTTGAGGCGCTGCAGGTTAGACCATCCTCAAATCACCAGCTGGGACTGGCATGCAGGTATCTAATTCCAGAATCCTCAACCACCAAGCTCTAGAGAATTTGGGGTGGGTGGAGTGGGAGGGCTGGAGGGGGTCCTCAGTCAGTGAACTGGGGGACTTCCCCCAAGGCAGCGCCCAACCCCCAATCGGCCAGGTCCTCACTTCCCCACGGAAAAGGGGCGCCGCGGTGGGGGTTCGTCTCTCTCGGGGGTCCTGGGCGGGGCCGAGGCGGAGCCTGGGGGGTCCGGGGTGGGGGGGGAGAGGCGGGAGCCAGTGGCCCAGGCTCACAGGCCAAGATGGCTGTTAATTAAAGTGCTGGCACCAGCTCCTCTCTGCAAAGTTTGAAGCCGTTATTTTCCACTCCAGCGAAGCGGGGAGAATCCGGCTGGGCTGACAGAGACGCCACACCGCGCCAGGGAGCGGGTGCTCTTTCGGGGGGCGGGGGACAGGCAGCCTCGCGGCGCGGAGCGCGCCCCACGGACGCGGCGAGAGCTCGGGGGGCGGGGGGCGGGCGCTCCCGCCTTGTCCTCGGCCTGGGGCGTCCACCGCACTTTCCCGGCGGGTCCTGGGAGGGGGGCGGGTGACAGCCGAGTCCCAGCTGCACAGCAAGGGAGAGACCCATGTGCGTGAGAACCTGGGGGAGGGGGACGTGCAAATCACACGCTAAAGACCGCGCATTTGTCCCTCGGGTCACCAGCCCTGTCGCTCTTCGAAGAGACATATTGAGGGAGACCAAGGTGGGAGACAGGAGGCCGACTGACAGCTGAAGACGACTCTTTCTGAGCCTGGGAGGTCTAGCTGCTCAGCCTAGCGCCCCCCTCCTCCCGGACTTAACACTTTCCTCCCTTTGGACATTGAACAGTACCTAGAGACCCAGTCGCGCCCGGGGTTGGAAGAGCCTGGAGTCGGGCTGCCGGTGTGAATCCCGACTCTACCACTTATTAGTTGTGTGACTTTGGGCAAACCTCTTAACTTGCCAAAGCCCCGGTTTTCCCTCTGTAAAATGAGAAAAATGATGGGCTTTACCTCTAGGGCTTGATGTGAAGATCCAGGGTGATCATGTACGTAAAGCATTCAATACAGGGCCTGGCACACGGTAAGCCCAGAAGAAATGCTATTTATTGAATTGGTTTAGCCCCCCTCCTTGGTGGTTGGGGGTCCCTCCAGCTGGGCTCTGCCATCAGTGCTTGGAAGGTCCTCTCTCGTAGCCCCTCATTTGATATTCTCACGTCCCTTTCCTCCTCCCAGCTCTGGGTGGGGGTAAGCAGTCTCATCCTAAGGTAGAGATAGCAAGAGAATCATAAGGACAGTTGTGACCAGTCAGCACGGGGCGGGGGGCGGGGGGGGCGGCAGGGTGGGGGCGGGTAGTGGGAGGTGGGAGGGGCCCTCTCAGGAGAAAAGAAAGAGGCTGAAGGGTCATCCTTTAGCATCGGCCAGAGGCCCCCCAAGGCAGAGCCCTCCCCGGTGGGCTGGATAAAGCAGAGTGAAGGAGGAGCAGTGGGGCAGCACCAGTGGGGCCTCAAATAATGTGACAAATATTTTGATGGAAGCAGACACATTTCCGTTTATGCAACCTAAACACTTTACTGCACTTGAGGAAGAGGATTGCCTCATGTAACCTGATGGGGAGAAGAGTTAGGGGGCTGCTGAGGAGGCTAGGGTGGAGGAGGAGCTGAGGGGCTGGGTGAGACCAATCTCCTCTCTTGGAGGCTGGAAACGGGAGCTACCACCCAAGGAATGTTTGTATTGGCCGGAATGAAGAAATGAGATGGGATGCCCACTTTCTTAGGGCCCTCATTTCTCCCTGGTCTAAACGCAGGGATAAGGGGAGTGATTAGAGGAAGATGGAGGACGGCCCCACCCCCAGGAAAAAGCAGCCTTGTCTGGTCTGGAGCTCGGTGAGGAAGGAGCAGAGGCAAGAGGTATGGGTAGAAGATCCCTCCCGTCCCAGAGGAAGACGGGGCCAGGGAACAGCCAGGAGCCAGAAAGAGCAGGAGCAGCTGCTCTCAGTTACTCGGGAACTCGCCGGGCACCCCGACAGGCACGCGATCCCCAGATCTCCTGGACGGGTGGTCTGCGGGGATTGAGTGCAGAATGGCCCCCTCCCCATCTTCCTTTTGCCTTCCTCTCTTCTTCCCTTTCACCGTCTTCCTTGTCCCTTTTTTGCTCCCCACCCCATATTCCCCTCAATTGCTCTTTGTCCCCAGCAGACTGGGGAACCGTCCACCCCGGCCTCCGCCGCCTGCGTGCCGTGGCCCCTAGAGCCTCCCTCTCAGTTTTCTTTGCAACCGACCCTCGAGGCCTCTCCTCTCTCAGTCTCCCTCGGCGCTCTCTAGCTCTCCCTGTGGCCCTCTTCCATTCGGTCTTTGGTCCCTACTCTCCCCTTCCCTATTGGAGACTCTACTGTTTCTCAGACTCTAGCATCCTCCCCATTTCCGAATCTCAGTCTCTATAGAGCTCCCTGAGTCTGGCCTTCATCCCCGCGGCCCCGCCCCCCTAGGTGGGCAGAGCTCTACAGCCAGCGGCCCAATTAGATGCCGGCCCCGCCCGCAGCCCCACCCCTCGCGGGCGCCGAGCAGCGCGGAGCTGGTGGGGCGGGGCGGGGCGGAGGGGGCGGTGGCCCGAGAGCTAGGAGGCGGGAGGAGCGGGGCTGGACGCGGCTGCCGCCGCTCTCAGTCCGGCCGCGCAGCGGGAGGGAGGCGCGAGGCAGGAGCCGGCGGCTGGGCTCCGCAGCGCATCCAGCGCAGCGCGGCGCTCCGGGCCCGGCCCCATGCCCGCAGCCCCGCGGGACCGCCCTTGAGCGCGGGCGCCCTGCCCGCGCCCCCCGCCCGCCGGCACCATTGCCCCGACGGCGCGGCCGGGCGGCCCGGCGCTCCCCAGGCTCCGCGCCGGCCGGAAAACGCTGCTGGCGGCCGCTGCGGGCGTGGTGATGCTGCTGGTGCTGGTGGTGCTCATCCCCGTGCTGGTGAGCTCGGGCGGCCCGGACGGCCACTATGAGATGCTGGGCACCTGCCGCGTGGTATGCGACCCCTACCCCGCGCGGGGCCCCGGCGCCGGCGCGCGGCCCGACGGCGGCGACGCCCTGAGCGAGCAGAGCGGCGCGCCCCCGCCTTCCACGCTGGTGCAGGGCCCCCAGGGGAAGCCGGGCCGCACAGGCAAGCCGGGCCCCCCCGGGCCCCCCGGAGACCCAGGTCCTCCGGGTCCTGTGGGGCCACCCGGGGAGAAGGGTGAGCCGGGCAAGACCGGCCCTCCGGGGCTGCCGGGTGCGGGGGGCAGCGGCGCCATCAGCACGGCCACCTACACCACGGTGCCACGCGTGGCCTTCTACGCCGGCCTCAAGAACCCTCACGAGGGTTACGAGGTGCTCAAGTTCGACGACGTGGTCACCAACCTAGGCAACAACTACGACGCGACCAGCGGCAAGTTTACGTGCAACATTCCCGGCACCTACTTTTTCACCTACCACGTCCTCATGCGCGGCGGCGACGGCACCAGTATGTGGGCGGACCTCTGCAAGAACGGCCAGGTGGGCCCGGCGGGGGCATGGGGCTGGCCTGGGGGCAGGGCACCCAGGGAGCCCGGGACGTAAGGATACCGGCGGGCACAGGTGGAGACCCTACGGCGGCCCCGCTTAGGCATCACATGCGGGGAAGGTGGACCGGTTGGCACTAACTCCTCGGTTCCTGGGCACTGGCTGCAAGGCAGACGCTGCTGGGCACCCGCGCGCGGCATGGAAATGCGGGAGATAAAACCAAATAACCAGAGCGCAGGGCTCCCAGGCGCGCGGACTGGGCCTTGGGGGCTTGGCCCTTGGGAAGCGCTATCTGAGAGCTGGGATTGTGGTTGATACCAGCGGGCGATTAGGGGAGGGCAAGGATAGGCTCTGGGGAAAGGCAGCCTCTGGCGCCCGCGGGCGTCCAGGCGCACCGCTCCGCCCGCAAGCCGAGAATGCGAGCTGTGGGAGACGTTTGGGGCACAGAGGCAAAGGGAGCCAGGGGCGCAAAGCCTTAGCTGCAGTACATCCTCTGTCCCTGAGAAGGGTCCACTGGGCCGATCTGACACCCTTGCAAAACCCGGGACATCCCGGTCGCTTCCCACTGTGTCAGAGCTACAGGCGCAAGAAAGCGGCCTGGGGGGGGGGGGGTTCCTCCTGAGGCGGGGCAAAGAGGTGGAAACTCCCCCTCCCTGGATCTTGCAGCTGCCGCTCTTGACTCCTGGAGTGTCAGGGGATCTTCTTCGTTCCCTATCCCCATCTCAGAGACCCAGGCTGGCGCCAAGCTGGTGGTACTGGGAGGGTAGTGCATTGTGCTCTTTCTGGAACTGCTGCCCCCAGAGCAACCTCGACCTAACTCTGCCCCAGGGTGACAGTTTTGCCCAGCTCCCTTCCCTTTTGATACACCCTCCCCTTCCAGTGCTCCCAGACCACGGTGGCCCCGTGGGGGTGGGGGTTGGTGAGGCCGAGCATTCCTGTGGAAAAAGGAGACCAGCAGGGGTAAAGTAAAAGCTGGGATGGTGGGAGTTGGCAAGGAATCTCGACGCCTGGGACCCAAGACCCTGTTGGAACCCTTCCCACTGCAGTATTACCCTGAGGTAGAACCTGGCTTGGAGGTGGGGGAAAGGACAGGCCTGGGAGTCAGCACAAAGACTACCAGGCACTTGTAAGTCTACCCCCTCTTTCTCTCCTGCCTGCCTCTTTTTTCTACTCTGTCTCTTGCCCCTGTCTCTCTCCGGTGTGCACCGGTCCTACCTGCCTCTCCGGAGTTTCTGGCCTCTCTCCCCTGGGCTGCACACCCCTCCGTATTCCCTGAGGGTCTCTCTCCCACTTTTCTCCGTCGGGCTTCCTGCATCTCTCATCTTTGTCCTTGGTTCCTGACCAAATGGGAGGCCTCAGCATCCAGGGAGGGCTCGTTCTGCAGACAGCCCCACGATTCCCCTTATTAATCACCCATAAGGGATGAAGCAATGTCACCTTCATCGATGGAATATCTTCCTTTCCCAAAGAAAGTTTGGGCTGGTCCTGAGTTGAGGTTTCAGGGGGCTGGGGGCCCATTTTGCCTGGATAGGGAGCCAGTCACCAGACGCCCAGTGGGCCCTAGACCTTGCACCAGCTCAGGAGGTTGCACCAGGGCCCCAGATATGAGGCCCGAGGTGGCCCCGAAGGTGATGTGTACTCAGGCAGGGGCACTAGCTTTAGTCCCTGGGAGGTGAAACTGTCTCAGAGCCTCAGAGCTTCTCCTCTCCCCTTCAGCAGGGGCAGGGCACTGGCAGAGCCTGACGAGGGGGGACTCACTAGAGGGACCACAGACTAGTAGAAAAAAGGAGACGGCTTTAACTAAGGGCTTCACAGACCCAGCATTTCTTTTTCATTTTTTTTTAAGATTTTACTTATTTTATTTGAGAGAGAGAGAATGAGAGACAGAGAGAGCATGAGAGGGAAGAGAGTCAGAGGGAGAAGCAGACCCCCCGCTGAGCAGGGAGCCCCATGTGGGACTCGATCCCGGGACTCCAGGATCATGACCTGAGCCGAAGGCAGTCGCCTAACCAACTGAGCCACCCAGGCGCCCCAGCAGACCCAGCATTTTAACAGTTACTCAAACCATTCTCCCCCACAAAAAAGTGGGGCCTGTACCCCTCTCCCCTACATCCTTTGTGACTTCTCCTTCCAGATTGCTCAAGAGACTCATTAAATCTCACGAGTCATTCCACGTATTCATTTTGAACCCCTACTAGGAGCCAGGTTTGGAGCTAGGTAGCAGGGGTTTGATCCGCCTGCCCTCCAGGACCTCACGGTCTGTGCAGGGGAGACCGTAGTAACCACAGGACAACACACCCCAGTGATTAGTGTGTTAGAGGAGGACCGGGAGCCCAGGGGCTACTCCTGTCCCCAGATGTGTTAGCTGGAGGGAATGATTCAGGGGGGCCTGCCCCAATTCCAACCAACCTGGTCAGGGGAGAGGCGAATCCGGGTCGGTCCCCAAGGTGAGAAGACATGGGTAGGGAGAAAATAAAAAGATCAAGTGTAGGAAAAGGCTGCCCTAGAGGTAGAAGAGGACATTCAAGCCAGCAGAGAAAGAATGATGGCCCTGGGCCATGGACGGGAACAGAACAGAGGGGCTGCTGCCTCCCCTGACTTCAAGACCAGGGGCAATGTTGGGCTCTGTGCTTTTCTTCTCTGGCTTCCTGCCTGCAGAAAGGCTTCCAGAATTTCCTCAGGAAGGATGAGCTGAAATTGCTCCCCGGCCTTTCCCTGGGCAAGACGGGGGGGGGGGGGAGGTTGCACTACCTTCCTGCCTGGTATGGAGGCCCCCCTGTCTGTCCTTGCCTGAGGCCCACCACCAGTCCCTCTCCCTAAGGGAGCCTGGAGTCACCACTGCCCAGCCTGATGGCCCCAAGCCCTGGTCATTGGGACATGGGGATCTGAGGAGCCTGAGGAAGGGGCTCTAGATTGGGGGTGGTGCCCTGAGTGAGGTAAGCTCCCTGAGGCTGCCTCGAAGGTCCCCAGTCCAGATGGGTCAAGGAAGACATGAAATTAAGAAACTGGGCCAGGAGAGAGGGAGCAGTGTGGGAATGGGCCAGGGCCCATGGCCAGAGTGCCAACTGTCCAGGGCAGGGGCTTTGGGAAGGTGAGTGTATTACAAATGGGGAAGGGCTCGGACAACAGAGCCTGAGTGCGGTGAGAGGTGGGGTAGTGTATAAACTGAGACTCCTGTGGAAAGGCCTCACTGGAGCTCAGCCTGGCGCCTGACAGCCGGAGAGGGGCTCCTGCTGTCCTTTTCTTGCCTTGAATACCTTTCACGGCACAGAGCCTAGTGGCTAGCACAGTAGGGACCCAGTCAATGTGTGACAGCACAAGTGTCCCCAGTGGGTCCAGCTGGCTGCCTGTGGGAGGCACTCCTGCACATCTGCCACCCCACATTGACCTGGGGGCAGGGGCATGCTTCCTGGGTTCTCCCCCCTCCTCTTTCCAGGGCCCTGATCCTTCCAGGGTCAGACCACTGCCTCAGTTTCCCTTCTGGCAGCACTCATAGAGGTGACTCTACAGCGCCCCCTCGTGACAAGTCCCAGACTTGCTTTCCTGCTTGCATGGCAACCTCAATTCCCCAAATTTTCCCTTGGCCCCCAGGAGGAGTTGGATGCCTCAACTATTTCCAGTCTCAGGCAGAGAATCAGGACCCCTGGGTTCCGTTCCTGGATCCCCCACCGTCTAAGTATGGAAGGGCGTAAATTCTCCCTGCCTCCATGGATAATTAGGATAATCACAGCAACAATCATGGTGATGAATAAATAATAAACATAAGCATAACAGTTCTGATGCCTGTCACATCACCAGGAGATTCCTGATGACAGATGACTGTATTCTAATGGATTTGGCTATTAAGAAGCACACTGTTTTAATGACTCAAGGCTAAATTAATCTGGGTAATAAAAATAATTGTTATTAGTAGTAATTTATTAGCAAAGATAATGAAATGCATGTGTATTAATAAATACTACGAGGATTAGGGCCCAGGGAACAATACAGAAGTTGGCTGCTTGCTTTGAACACTTGCCTAGTAGCACAAAGCCCCATCAAGATTAAAATTCTTTTTCTTCACCATCAAAAGGCTTTTACAAAGGTTGCAGTGGTGAGGCAGGATCTTCTTAGCCATCTTCTAAACAGAGAAACTGAGCTTCTTGACAGACAGCATCTTCCCCTCGTTTGATTTTTCTCTACCCTTAGCTGAACTACGAGTTTTCCCAACTAAGTGCCCCCCAAACAGTGCCTTCCCTGGGGGGAGGGAAGGGGCTAGAAGGATCTGGACTTTAAATGGCAGACAGCATGCAAATGCGTTGGGCCCTCCTGTTGCAGCATTGCTGCTGAATCAGCGGCCTTGGGACAGCTGAGCTGTAATTCTGCCTCTTGCCCAGGAGGGAGAAGGGGCCCTTCCCCTAATTTGGCTTGGGCCAGCCCAGACCTTCAGCCCTTGGGAGAGCTGCCTTCAGGGAAGGGCCAGGATGGAGAGGGGCTGTTGAGGAGCCCAGCTGAGAGAACCCCACTCAATGCAGCCTACCCCCCGCAACACAAGCCTGCACCTTGGAGATGGCCCCTGTCTTCCCGTTCTCCACCCAGGCTATCCAGGAGAGGCCCCAGATCCTATGGCTCAGGGCTTGTGTTGCCTCAGTTGTTGGCGAGGCATGCCTGGAGGGAATTTGCCCACCACCACCCACTCTCAATATCTTATGATTATAAACAGAGCCCCCAAAAGTGACAGCAGGCTTCACATCCAAATGCTGGTGCTCTCTTGCTTCATCGTCCTGCCAGTCCCTCCCCTCCCCCAACAAAACAAGGACCAGCAAGGATATCAGATCAGACTGAGGATCACAGAAAGATGTAAAGCCTGGATTCTCTTCTTCCCACCTACTTCCTTTCTATCACCGTGTGGCGAGATAGGCGGAGCCAGAAGTCCTCTTTGGGTAGGGTAACAGTCACGGGGAGAGCTACAGCTCTTTGGAGGCCAATATGCAGGCTCAATCCGAGCCTTGGGAGGGGAAATAATTACCTTAGAACTTCCATCTCCACTGCTCCACTGTGAAAGACTCCAGAATGAACTACAGACAAGGAGTTTAAATATTGGTTTCTGGTACTAGGTGGTTGCTTAGTAGCAGCCTGGTGCTAGTCTAGCCACCTGACCTTTGGGGCCAAGGTGCGCCCTTGTGTCCATCCACTGAAGTAAGAACAGATGGGCATGGCTGAAATGTAAGGCATTGTTACAATTAAAGCAGAGAGGAAGGAATGATAAGGAGGGAAGGGATGGCCCTCCATCCCCTGGTATTCCAGAGAATTCCTCTTTGCAAGGAGGGAGCTCCAGGCTGCGACATCCTGGAGGCATTGTTGAGGTCCTCTGCAGGCCAGACGGTTAGACCTAGAAGCGTTAAGGAGGCCAACTCCCCCTTGATTCCTAATTCCGACCCAGATTACAGCTGCCCTAGAAATCCAGGGCTCCTCTATAACCCGGTCCCAAAACACACAGTTAGGATTGGAAAGTGTGGGGGGATGACGGGAGAGAAGCCGGCTGAGAGCTGAAGGCGGGGCTTTTAGGGCCCGCAAGGTCCTCCCCAGGTGACTGCCTTACCTCTGACAGTCCCCCTCCCTCCCCGACCCTACTTCTCTCCCTCCTCCCCCCTCCCCTCTCACACACACCACCCCCTAACCCCCCCGGCAGGTGCGGGCCAGCGCCATAGCCCAGGACGCAGACCAGAACTACGACTACGCCAGCAACAGCGTGATCCTGCACCTGGACGCGGGCGATGAGGTCTTCATCAAGCTCGACGGGGGCAAAGCTCACGGCGGCAACAGCAACAAATACAGCACATTCTCCGGCTTCATCATCTACTCCGATTGAGCTCCCCGCGTCCCTCTCCAGCCCCTATCCACCCGCCCACACCCCCCCCCGGGGGGGGGTTCCCCTCCGGACGGGCTGAGGACCACCCAAACCCTCGCTGCCCAGCCCCGGCCGCCGGCCCTCCCCGGCTATGACGCCCCTGGCCCGCCCTCACCACCACCCGGGCGGCAAGCTACGCTCTCCTGCCCGCTCGCCGCAGAGCTGGGTCCAGAGCGCGCCCGTCCCTGTCCCCGGGAGGCGGTGTCGACCGCCCCCCCCCCCCGCCCCGGCCCGCGCTGTATATTTGTACTATAGGACTGTTTACTGCCCACCCTGCTCGCCAGCCGGCCCCAGACTGGGGACAGGTCTCGGCGGGGACCCTTCCCGTGCTCGGCTGCGCTGCCCTCCCGCTCCGGGGTGGCGCCTCCTGGGAGAGGGGTGGATCGGGGCTGGATAGCGTCCCAGCACCTGCTAAAGCCCCAGCCCGGCTGCGCCCCCCCGTCTGACCAAAGCTCTAATAAAAACACTTCCACCCCGCTGGCTTTGGGTCTGTGCCCTGGAGAGGAGTTGCAGAAGGGGACCATGAACCCTGCCCTCTTCCAGAAAGGAAAGGGGTCTGCTGGAAGTTTCCCGTGAATCTGGGGGCAGGCAGCCAGGTGCCAGAATCGGAGCTGCTCCAGAAGGAGGTGGGCCAAGGGGCCCGATGCTCACCACAGCCCAAGCGGGCCTGGGCAGCAGAAATGGGAGCCCAGTTCCATCATCACCTTCCATCGTGCAAAAGTTCCATTTATTTGTCCTTGAAAGTGGCATCAGCAAGGTTTAAACTGGGACACCCAGGTTCTCAATCCAGTACCACTGTGTATGATCTTGGGCAAGTCACTCCTCCTTCAGTTCTGGGTTAGTGACAGCAATGACAGGAACACACTTTGCACTAAAAACTGGTTGACTTTGGCCCAAGTGCTTCACCTCTGGGCCTGTTTTCTCATCCTATAAAATGTGACAAGACCTACCTCGCTTGAATGAGGATTCAAGAGGTATCATGTAAGTGTCCAATAAACACAGCTTTTATTATTTATACATCACTGAAAGTTTGCACAACGGTACGACATCTGGCTCAAGCCTCCCGAGAGCCTGAGAGGCTGGGTGAGTAGATTTTGTTCTTCCAGGGAGGTGAAATATCTTGCTTCATGTGACATAGTCACTAAGTTCTGTGATTGCACTTGAATCCAAGAAGACTGGCTCCTTGAAGACAACACGCTGAGTCTCCTTGTCCTGCCTCTGCCTCCCTTACCTTCTATAACTGGGAACCTTGACAGTTGCAGTTACGGCATTCCTAAATAATAATAGCTAATATTCAGGGGCACAATCAGTTAAGCATCCTGGTTTCAGCTCAGGTCATGATCTCGGGATCCTGAGATCGAGCCCCACATTGGGTCCTGGGTGTGGAGGCTGCTTGGGATTCTCTCTCTCCCTCTCCCCTGCCCCTCCCCTCCCCCCACTCTTGCTAATGTGTGCTCTCTCTCAAATAAATAAAATAAATAAATCTTTAAAAAAATAAGAGTTAAGATTTAGAGAGCACCACTCTGTGTCAGGCACCACATGAGAACTTTATAAATACTATCTCACCGATGTGTGGGTAGGGTGGGGCAGGGTGGACTGGCAGGAAATGCTCACGTGCCCTATAACATGGGCACTGTTATTTTATCCATTTCAGGTGGGGAAACTGAGATTTAGAGAGGTTAATAACTTGCCAGGGTCACAGAGCTAGGAAAAGGCAAATGTCAGTATTTGAACCAAAGACCTTGCTTTTAGCCCATATGCCCTATTTCATAAAGATTTGGGATCTCTAAAGCAGAGCTGGGGAAGGCTCTGAGGCAGCTCCATCCCTGCTGTGCCCAGCCCTCCCACTCCCACCCCTGCCCTGCAGAGGGTTGATGTACTTACAAGCGTCTGCCCTGGGCAGCAACCCTGGGGTGAACCTCTTGGAGAGTCCCAAGGCTCTATATTGAGGAAGAGTCCCATCTGGCCTCCCCTCCCCCAGCCAGCTCAGCTGGAGAGACAGGAAGGAGGGGTGGCCTCCTTCCCAGTCAAGCCCCATGTATGGACCCTTGTCATGGCTGGCAGCCTTGAATGGCTTTCTTTATTCTCCCTTCTCTCCCCTACTTCCCCCAACTGCCAGCTGTGGCCATTTAATAAAATTAGCTTAATGCTTGTTCCTTCCCTGTGGGGTCTGGAGATTGAAATCCACGGGTCCCCACAAACCCAATAAAACCCCTGGCAGGTCTGGCTGGAATGAGAGTTTCCTCGGAAAAAGCGATTAGATTAGAAGGCGCTTTCCCCTGCCTCCAGTGCCACCCACAGCCCTCTGTGATTCTTTAATGGCCACATTGGCCTGGAATCACCCAGCCACATACCTGGGGGGCTCCCCACCCCTCCCCAGAGACCACAGGGACTGGTCTGGGACCTCGGCCACAATAAAAAGCATGTTAATCGTTTCTGTAGGGAGTGCCTGGCTGGCTTGTTTGCTTTTACTTCTGGTGACCAGACAATCCTCATGTCGTTTTGAGAGATGGGCCTAATATCTTCATTTTGCAGATGAGCAAATCATAGTCTGATGAAAATTCGTGACTTGCCCATGGTCATGCAGCAAGTGTGTGGCATAACTAGGACTGGACTGAAGCCAAGGACTTTTTTTTTTTTTTTTTTTCCTTTGCAGGGCACCCAGGGTATCCTGCAGTCACTCAGGCAGCAGGGAAAACTGTTGGGAAAGTGTCTCCCCCATCAGACAGGGGATACCTGAGGGCAAGGACTGTGTCTCCACCATCAGAATGGGAAGCTTCCTGAAGGCAAGATCTTTGTGTCCTCCATCAGACTGGGGGTCCTCAAAGACAGTGTTTTGAGTAAGTTGAGGTTACGGTATGTATCTCCACTGAGACCAGGATTGGGGGGTTCCTAGATGCAGAGATTGTGGCTCTCCTCTCAGGAGGGTAGACTGAAGGTAGATACTGCTTTTTCTATTAAACTGGGGCATTCTAAGACCAGCCCCTGGGACTGGGGGTACCCTGAAGGACAGACTCTGGCTCTTCATCCAACTGGGGGGATCTCTGAGAGCAAGAGCTGTGTCTCCCCTCAGACTGGGGGCTCCCTGAAAGCAGGGCATGTGTCTCTCCTCCTCCTCAATCAAGGGCTTTCTGGCACAAGAACATTCCAAGGGGGTAGGGCTGGCTGGGTGGTAGAAAGGAGGCTGGCCAGGCAGAATGGCGGTCCCACTCTGGAGGAAGGAAGGACGAAAGCTCCCCAGACTGCCTCCCCTTTAGAAAGATGTGCGATTAATTAACGAATAATGTCCCTGCCAGGGGGCTCTTAGGATGGAGGTGGTCCTGGAGCTCACCCACACAAGGAACGGTAAGCCATCCTGTGCCCAGGCAGCTGCTAGCCCTAGGGGCTAGGGCTGCCCCGCTTTCAGGGGTCATGGGCACCAGAGGGGACAGCAGGAGCCCACCGCTGGGGACTGTCTTAATTGGATGACTTTGCAGGACGGCCAGGCAGGTGCGCTCAGCTCGCCGCTTCAGCTTGCTACAAACACATCTGCCACGGTGAGGTCTGGGGGTTAATTGCCTCCCGTCTCACTCCTGGTAACCGATATTCCATTTACTGCTCGGAGGGGAAGCTGCCCGGAGAATCAATCCCGGACAAGCATCCAGGAGACAGGGGAGCTGCGGAGGCATGGGAGCTGTTTCCCCAGATGATCTCTGAGCGCCAGAGGAGGAGGCAGGAGGCCAAGGCCCAGAGAAGGCAGCCGATTGCTCCAGGCTACTGGAGCACCTGCGTTCCTGCGTTCCTCACCTGCTTCTCTTGACCCGGACAGGACCCCATGGGTCAGGAGAAAATCCCAGGGACCCAGAGGCTGTCCCACCCCAGCTAGCTCTGCTATATCCCCTGCCCTGGTTCCTTCTGCATTTATTTATCTGAGTGCCCCCATAAGCTGTAGCAGGTTAGATGCTGTTAATAAGGTTATTTTCACAAGCAATGAAGGTATATTTGAAAAGCGGAACTGGAGGTGTGAGGTCCTCACTCCCTTCCGGGTAACAAACCTTAAAATCCTACAAATGAGGTGATAATAAAGTGGAAGCGAAAAGTCTACACATGTTGGGGACTGATAGGGTTACCGAGAGGTGGCGGCTGGGGGCTGGAGGGAAAAAGGGAGGGAGGCTACCCCGCATGCTTTCAACATGCTCCCCATTTGTTCCATCCACCAAAACTGAGACTCTAAACCACTGAATGGGTAACTCCCATTACACAGCCAGGAAAACTGAGACCCAGAGAGGGAGCCAAGTTTGCTCAGGTTGGTTCAGAGACAGCAGAACCCAGTAGACATGCAGCAAGTGGAGATGGAAGAAGTGGGGTCAAGTCCTGGCCATGCTCGGCGTTTCAGGAAAAGACACGTGACCTCTCTGAGCCTCAGTTTCTTCATCTATATAACTGGGCCAATCAAAATATCTACTTGGAGGGCTGTTGTGAGGCAGTGCATAAGAACCTGTTTTATAAGTTATAAAGCAAAATGCAAATGCATTATTAGTATGACCACCCAAGTCTCCTGAGCCCCGTGATTTAAACATCTTTTGGTTGCACTTCAATGCCTGGGATGGTCATGATGACCATCAAAGAAGACAAAGATTCCTGGGGTGTTCTCCCACCCTGGTAACCCCAAAGCAAATGTGGGGCACTACGGAAAGGGTCAGTTTGGTGTACCCAAGATGTGGAGCTGTTGAGAACAGACACACTGAGTCCTCCCATGTCCAATGTGGACCCCCCTTCTGTTCTACGGCCTCCAATTTGGGATGAGAGCACAGGGATACCCCGAGACCGTGGTCCACCTGTCTCTACTTGCTCTGCTTCTTTCAACATTACTGAACATCTTCATTGGGTCAGGCCCTAGCTTGTGTGGATCCAGAGATGCCTAAGAAACCATCCAGAGATTCAAGACACCCACAGGGATCAAACAGACACATCCTGGGCACAGTGCTATTGGAGGGGCAGGGGAGGTCTCTCAAACTGTCAGGAGGGGTTACTCTGAGGGAGCTCGATTGAGTGGAGGCTTACAGTTTTTCTTACATGACGTTTGGAAAGGTTTTACAAAGTGTCTATCCCTTCGAAATCTGAGCCCTGCCCCGCCCCCACCAGTGCCCCTTTCCCAAGTTGTTGCTGAAGCTGTCCTCTTGGTGACGGGGTTGGTGGGGGTAAAACCCAGGGAGCTGAGTGTTTTCTCTTCTCTTGTCCAAGGACTTGGGAAATAATGGAGCTGGAGGAATGACATATATCCTCATCTCTGTATCAACCCCTAAGTTATAAGAACAGCTTATGTACTATCCTAAGAATTTTTTAAAAAAGATTTTATTTATTTATTTGTCAGAGAGAGAGAGAGAGAGAGCACAAGCAGGGGGAGCGGCAGGCAGAGGGAAAAGCAGGCTCCATGCGGAGCAAGGAGCCCGATGCGAGACTCGATCCCAGGACGCTGGGATCATGACCTGAGCCGCC